TTATAACTTTAGCAACTAAAAAGGAAATCCAAACAAATGCTAATATGATTTATAGCTCAAATGATCGATTTAATCTATTTAAAGCTTACACAAACAATCGAATTAAAAAATTGATGTTCTCAAATGCGCTACTATCTTATGTAATGAAATTCAGTATGGGGCTTAGGCAACCCCTTTTTATAAGGGATAATAATATATTAATATTCACACCACACTAAGTCCCTGTTTGGTGCACATTTTTTGCTCAAAGAATGCATTTTTTTGGTTGATGACAATGAACAAATATGAAAGACATTTGTTACAAGTAAAATATAGTACAACAGAAAAAAGTGAATGTAACAGGGCTTGTTTAATGAGTATTTTTAAGAATAAATTTAAAAAATAATTTTTTGAAAAATGTGTGGTTCAAAAGTAGAAAAAATTAAAATTCACGTGTTATTTTATTGAGAGTATTTGTGGTTAAAAATAAATTGAAAAAAAAAAAGATTTGATCAGAAAGTTAATTCGAGTCCATCAATTTCACGATATTTTCTTAAAACAAATTTGCTGCATTCACAGGTGTTAAAGATGTTCAACAATTGTTTTTAAAGATAGAATAGATTTTGTCTCATACGGAAACAGAAAAACGATATGTAGAAGTTTTAATTTTCCCGTCGAGAACAATATCAAAAATTCAAAGCAGAGAAAGTTTGCAATAAAAATGGTGTAATTATTTTGACAGCAGGGTAGGCTATTTATAGACTCATTCATGACAATTCAAACATTCTTCAAGCCCTTTAAGAACAGTTATCACTGTTCAGACAACCTCCCAACTCGAATAGACAACAATGTTCAGTATGAAACACTGCATTTGTTAAGTCTGTTAATAGATGTTTGTTTCGTCGGTAACAGACAACCCAGACCAAAAAATTAATTGGAAGTAAGCCAATAAAAATTAATTTCATTAAGTACCCATGGTGAAAATCGGTTAACAGACCATCCAAAATAATTTTTTGAAAAGAAGCCCATTAATAAGAATAATTTTATGAAGTACCTAAGAATTTGATTAATTACAATTTGATCCAAAATTTTAAATAAATTTTGTCCAAAATACCCACACCCTAATACGAATTGGACCGGACTCATGTTGTGTCGAGCTGGTTGGACGGACCACACGCGCATGTTGGCTTATGATCGAATCCAATGGGATATATGTCTCCCCCTTCCAAAAACAATTGGTATCCATTGTGGTCCAAACTCAATTTCCAAACTTTCACTATATAAATCACACCAAAGTTTCCTAACTTTTCTAGGTGGAATAAGTGTGCCTAATTTCAATAAATCAAATTCTTCACTAGTTTATAGTTTCAAGTGGATTACTTTGACATTAAATATTTCATTCAATTCTAAATAATTTTCGATAAATAAATATATCACATTAATCAACTTGTGGAGTAGAACGTGAATATACTTGGTTCCATTAAAATCGAAATACGAATCCCACTAAAATTGAAGCTCAAAGTTAACCCATTTCACTAATTAATAAACCATTTACAGCCGTAACTACCGACCTTATGTAACCCCAAGTCTAAAACTTGTGCATACGGTAGTGGCGGGCATTGTCAAAACATGGTCGTCAACTCGTTTTACACGTTTAAGAGCATATTCAAGACTTTTTATTTTATAAAGAACATCTTATACATCATATAGAGCATCTTTAAATTTAGAGAGTAAATCTTTATGCACTAATCTACATTAATGCTCTCTATTTTGACTCTTTTATTTTACTTTTCTCAACAAATATTTATTAATTTCTCCTCGTACTTTAATTTAGCATAATTTTTTGTATGTGAATGATCAGTCAATAATCAATATAAATGTGTTTTGAATAGTTTAAGAAATAAAATATTGAAATCTATTATTTATTAATGTAAATCAAGAACAGAGGATGAATTTGGCTTTCTTTTTTGGAGCTACTTTTTATGTATTATCTCCTTCAAATAAAGAACATTTTACTTTATCTGTCCAAGATACTCTAAAACTGAAGTTTGATTTTATAGGGCGAAGATAACCATCTGCCGGGCATCCCAAGAATTCGAGTTGGGAATAAAAACAAGAACAAGTACCTCAGCCTTTAACTGGACACTGCTGGATGCTGTTTTTAAGATTTTAGTGTTCAGTGAATCAGCATTTTTTGTTTGAGCATTATATTTATAAATATACAGTCAATTTGAAATATTCGATATATCAAACGTTGTGATTTGATTCCTTCGAATAATAATAATATTCTCCTGCACACTTGTAANTCCTTCGAATAATAATAATATTCTCCTGCACACTTGTAAGCATATTTGGCAGCAAACCTCAATTTTAGAATCTTGTTGGTGGACTTTTGAGCTCTGTATTGAATATTGATGAATGCTCTTCAGGTAATATATCTGGCCACCCAACAGTCATATGCAGTTGCTGATTGTATTTAGATTCTTGGCACAAATCATTTATTTATCAACGTATGCATTAATATAAGTAAATATGATTCCTTAAACTTAGTATACAAGTTTTTATTCCAATTTATTAAAAATTTTGCTCATTTGTGCATGATTTGGTACCAAACCAAATTTTTTAACTAAGCTTAGAAGTTTAGAACAGGGAAAAAAGTTACTTATTGTTTCTGTTCTGGAAATTGTGTTACCATTGCTTTGGCCATGTGGGTATTTAGTAACTAAGGCTGGAAGTTGATTTTTTGTATAATTCATGTTGGAATTATTGTACTTTTTAATTGAATAGTGATGAACCTGCCTCTCTTGATTGGAGATTGGGATTATACTTTGACTAGGCATGTAAAGGCAAGGCCCCATTTTAAGAATCTTAGAAGATCTACCTTCATTTCTGGTTTTGGGTTCATGTTCATGCTTTACTATTACAAAGTTCTTAACCAATAAAGATGAAAATTTTGCACATCTGGCATCAAATTCTTTATTTTGAACTTTTCTTTCCAGCTATATTTTCTATCGAATGCTTGATTTCTTGAAATGATGGTGAGGTGATTTAAAGAATCAATCAATAGGTTGCTGACTTTATTGGAAATGGAGTTCCATGTACATGTGAGGAGAGGATTGCTGTTTCTGAACTTTTGTGTTTGGCTATCTACGGAAGTCATTGGCATGACTAAAAATGTCAGTGCTCCTTCTAGACCAAGCGTGGTGAATATTGGAGCTTTGTTCACATTCAATTCGACTATTGGACGATCAGCAAAGCCAGCTCTTCTTGTGGCAATTGACGATGTCAATTCTGATTCTACCATTCTTAACAACACAAAGATTAACCTCATTCTGCAGGATACCTATTGCAATGAGTTTCTTGGAACCATTGAAGGTAATATATGTAGTTAGTATAACTTTCTTGTCTTTTAACGAGTAACGACACTAGGTAAACAACCCTCGAACAGTTCGATATTTTAAACTATATCTTTCAGGATTTTCCCTATCTTGTATAGCTTAGGTTCACAGGAGAAATTTTCAGCAAGTTGTGTCTATTTCTCCTTACTTTAATTAGTTTTAGAGGCAATTTCTTTATTATAATTTTGTCAATTTTCCTTCTGCAAGACATGAATTAACACCTAAGGCATTGACTGAACACATAAAATTCATCAGCACAGCAAATCCATGGTCCAATTGCTGAAGTTCTAAATCATTTTGTTTCCACTCTGCTCTCTACATATATTTATACAGAAGAAATTTGACCTTTTTTTGCTAGCATAATGGTAAAGGAAAATGGTATATGATTTTAGTGTAGAATGTTCTTCATGGACCATTATTGAAAAGATAAACTCCCAGGAATTTTTATGACTTCCCAAATTTTATTTAAGTTGATGCACGATAACAGGTGTTTCTATTATGCTTTAGATGAACCAAAACAGGAATGCGTGAAAGATAAAGACAACTACAATGTTCTGCTTTGCACTGTTTGCCTGTCAAATCTTTGAGCTGCTGAATTTTAATGTTACGAAAGGACTTCAGTTCTAGTGGGAAGATATCTATTTATTTTTACTCTTATCTGTAGAAATGATGTTGATTTTGTCTGTTGTGAAGTTAAAGTGCATTACAAATTTAGTATACTCTTTCTCGCCTGATGCTATTGATGATGAAAAATGAGAAATGCTTGACAGAGGATCCTTGTGTAGCTATGCAGTTGATGGGTAAAGAAGTAGTCGCTGCAATTGGTCCACAGTCCTCTGGGATAGCCCATGTTATTTCACATGTCGTGAATGAACTTCAGGTGCCACTTTTGTCATTTGGGGCTACAGATCCAACTCTTTCTTCTCTGCAGTACCCATACTTCCTCCGTACAACGATAAGTGATCATTTTCAGATGTATGCAATTGCTGATTTGGTGCAGTATTTTGGATGGAGAGAAGTAGTTGCCATCTTTGTTGACGACGATTATGGTAGAAATGGGATTTCGGTTTTGGATGATGCACTTACTAAGAACCGTGCTAAGATTTCTTACAAAGCTGCATTTGCTCCTGGAGCTTCTATAAGTGACATTAACAGCCTATTGGTTGAAGTAAACTTGATGGAATCGCGGGTTTTTGTGGTACATGTAAATCCTGATTCTGGTCTTACAATTTTTTCATCAGCTAAGAGTCTTGGAATGATGAACCCCGGTTATGTTTGGATTGCTACTGATTGGCTTCCTTCTCTTCTAGATCCTTCAGCAACCAATAGTCCCGATAGAATGGATCTTATACAAGGGGTTATCGCACTCCGCCATCATACCCCAGATTCTGATCTGAAAACAAATTTTACTTCACGGTGGAAAGATTCGAAGAATAAGGAAACCCCGAATTTTAATTCTTATGCTCTGTACGCATATGATTCTGTGTGGTTACTTGCTCGAGCTCTTGATATGTTCTTCAATGAAGGTGGAATTGTGAGTTTTTCTGATGACCCCAAATTGAAAGATACCAATGGAAATTCCCTGAATCTAACAGCACTTCGAATTTTCGATCAAGGCTCGAAGTTACTTCAGATACTTACTGCAATGGATTTCACTGGTCTAAGTGGACAAATTCAGTTTGATACAGATAATAATTTGATTCATCCAGCATTTGATGTTATTAACATTGGTGGAACTGGGTTACGGAACCTTGGTTATTGGTCAAATTACTCAGGTTTCTCAATTGATGCTCCAGAAATTTTATCTGCAAAGCCCCCCAACACTTCCACCAGCAATCAACATCTTTATGATGTAATATGGCCAGGCGGAACTACAACAAAGCCTCGTGGATGGGTGTTTCCCGACAATGGGAGGCCTTTGCAAATTGCAGTACCTCATCAGGTTACTTATCCTGAATTTGTGACTAAAGACAAAGGACCATTAGGGGTCAAAGGATATTGCATTGATGTTTTTGAAGCAGCTATTCAATTGTTGCCTTATCCTGTTCCCCATCAATACATCTTGTATGGTGATGGTAGAAGAAACCCTCTATATAACAACCTTGTGAATGACATTGCTCAAAATGTAAGTACCATCTTCCTAGTTTTATGCAGCACAAAACGTGAGTTCCTAATATAGCTTGGGAAATTAAAGAAATCTTTAAATGAGTGAAAGCAAGAAATGAATAGTGCTAATATCTTGTTTGGTAATGAGGATTGTCCAGCACAGGAAAGTATTAAAAGAAGAAAAAGAAGCTAATATCTTGTCCTCTGTACTGTTCATCCTTTTCAGTATTTTGTGCCAAGCATGCCCTAATTGAATGCTCAAAGTGAAAATAAGACTGCATTAAACTTAGGAAGGAATTCTATTTAGTCCTGCTTACTATTTTGCTTAATTCATTAGCCTAGACTGTAGTCATTATGTAAAAATGACAGCATGTTCTGTTGTAAGATTATAAGGTCCTTCACTGGAAGTTTTTAAGCTCATACACAATTTTCATTTTTGCTCTTTGAAGCAATGTTTCTGATGAAATCCATTTGCTCATATTGCTCAAGTAAAATGATGAACTATTAAATAAAACTCAATCGGACTTAGGTTATAAAATTTGCCTTTTATGCAGGAGTACTTATTCTAGTGTTTCTATATATTTAATCTTGTTGCACGGACTCAGATGTTTCTTCTCACATGACTGTGTGCGCTCTTTGTGATATCCACTTCATTTGCAAAACTGCTCTCTGCAATAACATAATAGCTCCTCTCTTAATACTTTTGCATGTGGAGAGTCAGAAGTTCTACAATGTTTTAACCTTTGACTGAAACTTATTTTAGTTTGGTTTGTTTTAACAGAAATATGATGCAGCTGTTGGGGATGTTACTATTACAACAAATAGGACAAGAATTGTGGACTTTACGCAGCCTTACATGGAATCAGGGCTCGTTGTAGTGGTTCCTGTCAAAGACATTAAATCTAGTCCATGGGCTTTCCTCAAGCCATTTTCTTGGCAAATGTGGTGCCTAACTGGGTTGTTCTTTCTTTTCGTGGGATCTGTTGTTTGGATTCTTGAGCACCGAATGAATCCCGAATTCCGAGGCCCTCCACGGCAACAGCTTATAACGGTCGTTTGGTTAGTATCTTGTCTTTCGGTTAGTATCTCGACTTGTCAAAACCAAAGATTACTATCTAGGCACTACATCGTACGTAGAAGCTGTTCCTTGTCCTGTATCCTAAGAAAGAGGCGTGCATAGTTCCTAGTGAACGCTGGCTATTCTAGAGTTTCTTCTTTCGTGAGCTGATTTGGATTTGAACCCATGAATTTCGACTTGACTTAAATATGATTTTGAAGTGCGTGTGCATACTAACTTGTAACTCAATCTTTCAGGTTTAGTTTCTCAACAATGTTTTTTTCACATAGTAAGTACATTCTGTCAATCCATTTTTCTTAGTGACAGCAAAATCCTGCTTGAGATTCCTAACACTCCAACTGAATTGGATTTCGTGCAGAAGAAAACACCGTAAGCACCCTGGGGCGTTTGGTGTTGATATTGTGGCTGTTTGTGGTGTTAATTATCAATTCAAGCTATACAGCTAGTTTGACATCAATACTCACAGTGCAGCATCTGACTTCACGAATTCAAGGGATTGACAGCCTGATAACCAGTTATGATCCAATAGGGATCCAAGATGGATCATTTGCATATAATTATCTTACTGATGAGTTAAACATTGCAGAGTCCAGGCTTCGAATATTGAAAACCCAAGATGACTACATTAATGCCCTTCAGCTAGGTCCAAATCGTGGTGGGGTTGCTGCCATAGTTGATGAACTTCCTTATATTGAGTTATTCTTATCCAACACAAAGTGCATATTCAGTATTGTGGGGCAAGAGTTCACAAAAAGTGGATGGGGATTTGTAAGTATTTTTATAGTTTCTATTTTCCTTGGCTTGTATGGGAAGGTAGATTAGACAATGCTCGACAATATTTAACAGGAAGAAGAACTTAAATCTGTCTATTATACCGTCCAAAAAGGTTACTTTAAGCTTAGCCACATAGTTTGAAGTTTGTACATTCACCTTGCAGTGACATGATCTAAAACTAGTTATGGAATTCATTGTGCAGGCATTTCAACGGGAATCTCCATTAGTGATTGATCTGTCAACAGCGATCCTTCAACTTTCAGAAAACGGAGAGCTTCAGAGAATCCACGATAAATGGCTGATGCGAAATGAATGCTCTGTGCAAGCCAAGCAAGTAGATGAGAGCCGGCTTTCCCTCGAGAGCTTCTGGGGCTTGTTTCTCATATGTGGAATTGCCTGCTTTATTGCATTGATAGTCTTTTTCTTCAGGGTTTATGGGCAGTACAACAGATATAATGGAGACATAGAGCAACAAGACATCGAGGAAGCTGAACCTGCAACAACACGTCCTAGTAGACGCATCCTTGCCACCACTAGCTTCAAGGATCTGATTGATTTTGTTGATAAGAAAGAAGTCGAAGTTAAGGAGATTCTTAGAAGGAAGAATAGTGATTTGAAGAGGCAACCTAGTCAAGTATCTGATGGACAAAACGAGTCGCTACCATGAAAAAGATTTTTTTTCCTAGCTATATTCTAGTTAGTAGTATAGTAATGGTCCCGTTATGTAGCATTACATTGTCAGTTTCTAAGGACGCATGTACAACTTATAATTAATAAAATCATAAGTCATTACATATGAATTTATGAATGTTTAGTGCATTTTCTGTAATAATACTAATTTAAGTAATTAAGGTATAATGCATACACTCAAACTAACAGATACAAACATTTAACCTAGTAAAAGTTGTGGAGCAAAAGCAGTTAGTTACTCATATACTTTATAAATTCACTAATTTAGGAATGAACAAATGAATAATAATGGACTGCATATACATATTAGAATGTTGTCTATAGCTCATCTCAAAACGAGTTTGAACTGTCCATGAGCCTAGTCAGGACGAGCAAGCTAAGGAGCCAACAAGCTGCTCAGCCCGTTTACCCCCCTAGTTTCACTTACAATTAAGTATAGATGTACCATAATATGGGGTGTGGGTGAGGTTCATTTCAAATTTTCAATCATTTTCCCTAGAATCGTCAAAGATTTGTGCTGTTGAATATGCATACGCGTGATTCATACAAATGACAAGAAGACATGGATCCACTTTTTTCCTCTCAAGATTCATTACAAAATCTACATCCACACAAGTGTTTCCATCACATTCACGTCTCATTTGTTAACACATTTCAAACAAAAAATTTAGAAAAAAAATGTTAATTCGTTGAATAATGTAGCTACCATGACCCCAATCGAAATGCATACAACATCACTTGGCATCTCCTAAATTCCACATTAAACTAGTAGCATATTTGGCTAAGCTAAAAGTTACTTAAATTATTTGATACCAAAATAAAATAAGCATCTTACTTTATTTAATAGAAATAAATATTATCAACAACTAAAAGAAAGATCGATTCTTTGGGATCCTTCATTTCTTCAAACGGAAGGAATAGAGATAGAATCAAATCGATTCCCGAAATTCCNAAAAATAAGCGTAGTAATACATGCATTGGACGAAGCAAAGTTAGAAGTGACAGAACGCTAATTAAGTATGCAATTAACGTAGTGTATCCATATTATATCGGTCAACTCATGTCCAAAATGACAAGGGCACCATTACTCCCACCAAATAGCCATTAAAATTTTGCTGAATTTTCAATGATAAAGAAGAATGCACCCCACAATTAGGAAGATAATATGAGACATCACATGAGGAGGTAAAAGACAAGGCAAAGCTATTTTACTTTTATGGCCAAACAAAGTTGCCTCTGAGGCCATCTCTCTAGACATATCGTCAAAATGACTCAGCTTTGCCGAAAAATGTTTCACTTCAATATCAATAAAAGAATCCTCTCCCGGGTCTTGATTCTCCGTTGGTATCTCAAATCTCTTTGGAAACGATTCCTAGCTTGTTGGATCCAAAAGTCATCCGTTCGTTATAGATAATTGCCAATCACTACTACAGTCTCTTCCTCTGCGTTGCCTCTTGTGGATAGTTCTGGGTTGTCCTCCACGAACATGGCATCACCACTATGCTGCTGCTGCAATCATGACAAAGATTCTTCGGATCTCATTGCTTGGAAAATCAGTCTCTTGGACGATGGTCAGATTGGCAAGTCAAGTTTTCTGGTTAGCATTTGTGTCCTGTCCAATCAATCATACCAAATGTGTGAAAATATTGTCGATTTGGTTTCATTTGTTTATGACTGAAGACCAAGTATTCTGGGAGAGAAAAAGGACTTGAAGAATTTGGAATGACAGGAGCAAATCAGTTGGACAAAACATTGTGTGTTAAAGGGGCACATATTTCTTATAGTATCTGGGAAGTGGGAGGTAGACAACATTATATGACCATGTTGCAGACGGCTATCCCAGTAATAATAGGGATCAAGTTCGATGATTTTGTCCAACTACCAATAGATTTGCAGTGGACAATTGCAAGTCAAGTAAAAATCACAAATAGCACTCATACGTTCATATAGATAATAGAAGCATATTTGTGAAATCAACACAGATTCCTTCACAAAAAGTCAGCCAACCATCCTTTTTGCATCAATTAATTTTACTCTGATTACCAAAAGCTCTCAAGATTCAAGTTACAAAACACTAACACGAGTTGCGTGTATAAAAACAGGCAAGAGCATATGCAAAGGCACTGAATGCAACATTGTTCTTTTCGAGTGCAGCCTACAACATCAACATGAATAAGATCTTCAAGTTCATTACAGCAAAGTTCTTTAATCTACCATGGAATATGGAGCATAATCTCACTGTTGGAGACCATTATTGATTTCTAGTTTCCAACCTGAAGGATCCCCTTCTTTCAATGACTATAATTGTAGATAAAATTAGTTTTTTACGACTGTATCAACCAGTCACTGGATCTCTTAAAGTTACAATAGGACCCAGTGAATTTGTGTTATGACACCCAGTGAGTCCTCCAGTGTTCAGATCTCTCTCTGTGTATCTTGGACACCTCTCATGCACGGGTTGGTAGGCCCAAACACAGACAGTTTCCTTTATTTTTCACTTAAGGTATAGTCATTCACTGGTATTTCGACAACTATGAGATGAATAAGATCATATTTTTATTTGATGTTCTTATCCCAAGCAATCGCACATAATTGGACAAAACCTAGAAAATGTTTCACAGAAAAAGATAATAAAAATGTCACTTTGATCGTGAGATGAAAAAAAACATTTTCCATATCGAAGAAACTATGCAAGCAAATGGGTGAAACCTCAATTGTGCCAAGCCATTACCCAAAAGACACTGATAGACAGCCAATGGCAGCACAATTAGACCACAAGAGGCATAGACTACATGTCCATGGTGACAATTAGCAGCTGAATTCAAGAAAATATCGAGATAGTGAAAATGTAAACTTGAACCTCTAGAGCATGTTTGGCTACGCTTAAAATTTACTTAATAAGTGAATAATAGTATTTTTTATTAATTGAATTAGAAATAAATAAGTTTTTTTATTTTTGATAGTAACTTAAGAAGAAAAAAGGTAAATTATCTAAACATGTCTGGAAACAAAAAGTTATATTACTTCTTTTTGAGCTTTGTCAAACATGCTTTTGAAAAGATGAAATAAGAGCATCAAACATGGCAACCCCAATTGTGATTTCAGATTATGTTATTAATATCTTGTTCTAGAGAAAATCTTTTAGTTTTGACAGGCACTTACACTCCTTGTTAAACGTTGATGGGTTGCCAAGAAGAACAACATTTTTCTGGAGGTGAACTTCAATGATAATTTTATTCTGAAGGCCTTTTAAATGATTTTACATAGGCTGCAAACATATTATCTTCTTTGAACACAGAGATCAACCAAGTCACTTCATCGCAGGAATAAAGAAATAATCATCTTGCCCCATAATAGAAAATAGTCAGCAGAACAGAAAGCAAGTACAGCTTAATTAGCAAAAAAAGGACCCAACAGAGTCATACTAGAGAAGCAAAATGACTGAACCATTGAACTAGACAGTACTTCCTGCTATAATCATCACGAACTCTGATATACAAAATTGATAATCTTGTATGCAACTTCTGATCGTTAAAGGAGACAATGATCTCATGTTTTACTCTAAGATTGAGAATTAACCATCATTTTTTTCTTTTTTGTTCAGGGAACACAAAAATTCAGAATTATGAGCAGTTTGAATCACAAAATAGTCATTGATAACAAGAACTGAAATTGAAAAGACAGAATGATGACCTTAAGATCTGAGTCTAGGAAATTCTAACATTAGGCACTACTCATGTTTTACTTCCCTTGTAGGGGGGTCCAATTCCAAGTAGAAGAATGGCTGAGTAGGCTCTTCCCTGCATAGCAGTTATATAGTTCAATATTCAGCTAAGAATCCAAAAAAAACGAAAGAATATAGAATGAAATACGCACACAAGTACTCACATGCACACACAGGCATGTTGAATGTGATTCTTTGTTATTAATTACAAGACACTGAGATCACAACCTTCAGTTATTTAGGTTAGAAGAGATCGAGATAAAGTTCCTCTCTTCACGCCTATGTAGGCTCTAGATTCCTAACAACTAATCATCTTAGTGATACACCCCTTAACCAAAAATAATCACTCAACACATTTCTGGAAATTCTCAGACAATCTGTAGGGCAATGCATTTACCAATGGTTGAGATAACTTAAAATATCTCGAGGTAAGAGAACATTCAATTACGTATTGACTAGAGACAAATGAGAGGCAGAAGGGTTTGATATCAAATATACCCAGGTTTTGAACGCATGCACTGCCAAAATAGCTTGAATGGCCCTGGAACTGTTTTGAATGGGTTACCTTCAAAGCATGCCTACACAATATAAAAGCAAGAAGTGTCAGGAAATGAAAAAACGAACAAACCTTAACTTACCTTCAAGGGAATTCAGGAGTTTGCATCAACCTCGATGCAAATCGCAATATTCACTTTGCAATAACAATAATTTCTTTCAATATATTCGAGATTTTAATTGGAATTTAAAACATTATAGAGAGTGAGAGTTCATCAAACCGTTGGCACCATACAAATACCAGACATATATCTATAAGAAACGAACAAAGCACCTAAATATCCTTATACTCCGCAAATATGTATACATATAGAGGAAATCCAGGGTTTTAGGAGAGGTTTAATTTTAATAATCCTTACTTGTATGACATCTTCGGCGCGGTCATTGCATCTGTGGGGTTTCGGTTGCCTGTGATCTCCCTCAGGCATACCGCATACCCCATGGACTCTCCCTTCTGGGTACTGTCCTTTCACTCATTTTCTCTTTCTTTCTTCTTCTTCAACTCTGGTTGTTGGTTCGAAATAGGATTTGATGCATATATTTCAATTAATTTCACAAATGGGAACTAAGGTTTTTCCTAAACTTCAAATTGATCCTTAAAAGTATTTTTTGACCAATTTAGTCACGAAAATTAATTGAACTTGTACAAATGATCACTAGAGATTTATGTGAGATAATATTTAAGCCATTTATTTATTTAATTTTTTTCGCTATATTTAGATATATTTTACTGGGAAATGAGGAACTAACTGGTAAAGAAAATGTAACGCCCACAGTTTCATCTTAGGATTGGCTTTTGATTTGGTTAAAAATGAAATAAGTTTTTCTCTTAACTTTTTATCTCATTTTGAGGTTCAACGATTTTTTCAATCAAAATTAATTGTTTGTCATTCTACGGCGAATCAACGAATACTAGATTGTAAATTCTCGACATTCTTATGAATTAGGCCCCGTTTGATACGCCAAATTTTCTAGGGAACTAGGAAAATATTTTTCACTTTCCACTTTTTTGGCTGTTTGATAGGCGAAATTTTCCACGGAAAATATTTTCCTTCTT